TGAATGGTAATTTATAATCAGTCACAAGAACGTCGAATCTGAATCACTTGAAAAAAACACGGGGGTGCTTAACTTTTTTCCAGGTGTATAGTTAAATGATGCCTGGGAATTAAAAATAAGTTAGAAAGAGGAGTCTTAATACTGTATGTCTACATCTAATGCAATGCATTTATTTGTTGTTTTTTATTTTGAACTTGTACATATTAATTCTGAGGTGGGCAGAAAATGATTAGTAACTTGTCTTGAGTTATACATTTTTAATTTAAAATGGGAATCATGTACATTGTGTAAATTATATCTGTATATTTTTTCATGTCTAATATTAATCTGTAGGAAATTTACACATGTGAACATGATAAATTTGTGTTGAATTCCTGTCATAATAAAGATTGTTTGCATATAATTGATTATGATCAATTATATGTAAACAATATTCATAATGATTTGGAGATGTTTTCAGTGAGAATATTGGGAAGTTTCTCTCTCTCTCTCTTTTTTTCTCAAATTATAAACTAGACAATAGATATCACATTTGGTATTATTAAAAATGTCATGCTTCACCAGTTAACCCTTTCCACACATGTCATGGGACAAAGGCCATATTATCACGTTTGTTGACTCTCATTCAAAATTTTATTGAACTATTATTTTATATATATTTATGTCATTAAGATTTGTATCAAACTGTAGATTATAATTCAACTTTTAGTATTAAGATATCTTTATTAGTATTTAATATCTTCATTTAAAAGTAAATATTTAAAAAAACACACCTAAACATTAATTTTTGTGTGTCACGTGGTATGTTGAATGCAGCACTGGTTCAGATTAGATGCTTGTGATGTCAAAATACAAAGTCTATGGTTTTGTACAAATTAGGAACTCAAATTACTAATATTGAGAAGCTAAAATATAAAATAAGAACCTCCTATCTTTTCTTTTTGCTGAGATATTGCTTATTACTGAATCAAACATAGTGACTCGTCTCACCTCTTGCCAATTTTGGAAACGGTCTCTTATATACATTTACTTCTATGTATGACATGTGAATAACCAATTGAAAGCTCAGAATGTCCCCCTAGTGGCTTTCTCAGCCATTTTCATATATAAAGTCATTATATCTTTCTTTTGATACAAGACTGCATAGTGGTAAGTTGAGTCTTTAGTCTGCTTGAAATTTCATATTTTTTTTTACCCAAATACAGCCTTGTTACTAAAATTGATAAACTATAATTGAGTTCTATGGTATCAATATAGTAATTTATGATTTTGGTTATTCAAATGTATATATAAAACCTAAAAAAAATTATTTTGTTTCACATCCTCCACTTGCAAAATTTGATAAGGCTTACCAATTTACGGAAAGCAGTAAACGAGTACAAAGGTTGGAACTAGAAGAGATAATTGTTTGTTTTACTTCTTTATTTACTGTTCTATTTTTTTTAAGAAAAATAAGTTTAAGAAGTTATTTGGAAATAGTAATAATCTATATACATATATATTGCATATTTGAAAAGTGACTGTATTTTACAAAATACTAGTCCACTAAAACACATCCAAGACAGGTCATTTTGTAGAGACTAAAGGTCAGTTTATATTATTGGATACGGTAACATGAGTGCACGTGTGCTGCGTCATTGTAACTTCTGTATCGTTAGGCAGGCATGGCTGAAAGATCAATATAATAAAAATAATAAATATATATAAATGTATAATTTTATGAGATTTAACCTATTTAGTCTAAACACTTATGTTTTCGTGTTGTAATTTATAGTCATTCTAGAACGAAAAAGGCATAATTTATATTTATTTCCTAATTTGTTATGGTGATTATGAAATCAGTCAAATCGACTGAACTCATACAGATATTCGTCACTGAAAATATCAGATAAAATATAGTTTTTTAAAAAAACGTTTGATAACTATCTGGGCATTTTAAGGATTTCGCATTTCAAATTTGCAATGTATTTTTAATCTTAAAATGAAAATTACTTAGCATGTTGGATAAGCAACATAAGAAAAGAAAAAAAGGCATGAGAAAAACATTGCTTTAGAAAAAACCAAAATTAAATATCTTATTTTTCAAAACTACATACTTATAGGACCTTTCATCTCAAATTTAAAAGAATTTCATCCGCTAGCTTCATTTTTGTAAAGTACTTTCACAAGAGTTGCATACCTGCTTACAATGTAAGTAGGTCATGGTCAAAGGGTTAAGACATTCTACGCCTAAGGCATTTCACTTCTTTGATGAAGGTGGCTAACATAAAGTCGTAAATAATTCCATTTTGACTTTTACCTACATTTAATTGTTTCATGCCATATTTTTGTCAAAGCTTAGCCAGTATCAGGTTGTTTTAAAATGAAGGCACTTAGCAGGTGTCTGATATATAACCTCAGTGGAATATCAGATTCTTAGTTTTCTGTTATCCTCTTTTCTGATGTTGTTGTTTTTTGTTATATTAGAGGTGGACTTGGTGTTTTTCATTCATGTATATAGTTTAGTGATGTACAGTTAGTTGCCTGCCAAGATTGTTTGTTCCATTTCCACTTCTTCATTGTTAGGTCTGTACATTGATAATCTAGAACCAGTGATGGAAATGGAGGTACACAGCGTGTACCCCTAGTTCTCAGTTTGCATTATTTTTCCCATTGGTCAAGTTTAGTACTACTGAAAATGTTTATTAATCCTGGTCAAAGGCCATGTCATTACGTTTGTTGACTTACATTCAAAATTCTATTGAACTACTATTTTATGAATTGATGTCAATATGTTTGGTATCAAATTGTGGATTATAATTCAAATTTTTGTATTATACATTAGTTAATTTCTTAGTTTAACTATAAATATTAAAAGAAGAAGACACCAAAATATTGATTTTTGTGTGTCACGTGGTATATTGAATACAGCATTGGCTCAAGTTATATGTTTGTGATGTCCAAATACAAAGTCTAAAGTTTCTTATGAATTAGGAACTCAAATTACTGATCTTGAAAGGCTAGAATATAAATGCTTTCTATATGCTTTTTTATACCTATTATCCCACTGCTTTTAATAAGTGTGTACCTAGTTCCTAAAACCCATTTTCTTTCCTGCTAGTAACAGTATGAAGAAAGGATATCAGTTGAAAACTAACGTATACAAATCACCACATACAGAGTCGTGCTCATTGAAAGTTCCTCTCCAACCTTGCATAATTATTAGATTTTCCTATTCTTCTGTAGGTCTATACATTGATAATCTGATAAATGTAGCAAGAAAAGAACTTGGTTGGGAAGTAGACTACAATAGAGAAGCCTGGTGCGCTAAAAGATTCAAGTAAGAGTTCATGATATTAATTATTAATATCTTAGTTTATGTTTTAGCTTTGTGGATGTCACATCATTAAGTGAAATCTTATGTTTTTAAATCAACCAATCATTTTTTCTGATTTCTTGCATGTGGAAACTCTGAATGTGTTCACTTTCTGCATTCAATATGGATCTGCTTCTGTACTGAGATCGCAAATTGCAAAAAACATATTTCCTTTCATCGCAGTAACCAAAACAGTCTTGAGCCAAATCAATTAAATATATTTGTTCTACAGTCAATAGTATGTTAAATTTCAACCATTGTTTGTTCATACATTTATAAATATTTTGTTGAGCCGCAAAAGAAGTGTTTGAAATTTCTCTGGATTGATACTTTACTTAGTAATGTATATATATATACTAGTGATAGTGTGTGTATTCTGAACCTATTTTATCATAGAAGAACAGTCAAAAATGTTTTATACATATTTTTATTTCCCAGAATCAAAAAGTTGTAAAGGTATGATAGTAATAAAAGTATTATAGATAATTATAGATACCACTATATGTCACATTATCTAACTTATATAAAAGCCAAAATGCATTTATTCAGGTAGAATAGTTCATTTAATGCCTGCCCATTACGATTTTAGTGATAGGTACAAGGGGTCCATGAGGGGGTTTGCCGTGAAACCTTTTAAATGTAGTAAATGTTGGTATGAACTAAAGAAATTAATAAATAAGTCTAAAGTAAAGACATAGTGTGAGATAATCTAGCCTACACCCAAATGCATAAAATTTCAATTCAATTTCAAACTTAAATAATAAAAACAAATAATAAAAAACTCTGAATTAATAAATCAACAAATATGTTTTCAATTTTGTAGATTATACATTTCATTTTATACTTTCAGTACATAGCCTCTTAACAACAATATTAGGTTATACTTTTATTGCTAAGGAACATGATATAAAACCCATTGTTTGAATGCATTGTTACCAAAATGCACTAGCTGTTCTATATATTAGAAGATTTTAGAACCACTCTTTTTTCTATATGTTCTTTTACTAGATTGCCTCATTAAAAAGATGTGCATGCACGTGGATAAGTAATAATACCCAGGTGCAAACCCTAAGGGTCCATTTAGTATGGGTGTAAAATTTCAGGTTTCTAGGTTTTTTCCTCTTGGAGCTATTGTGGTCACATTTCTTTTCTATGTGGTTTTTTGCATAAAAAAGATGCACATACACATGTAGATAACTAATAATACCCAGGTGCTTTGCTGGGTTATTAGGTTGATATATTCTAGATGACTATGTCAGTGTGTGTATTCTGAACCCATTTTATCGTAAAAGTATAAACTATCTACTTATCTTGCTAAGCAACATGGCATAAAAGCCATTATTGGAACACATTGTTACCAAAAAACACTGGCTTTTTAATATATTAGAATTTGTTATATAAGGAACCTCATTTTTCTGTGTGTTTTTTTTGCTAGCTTGCCTCATTAAAGAGATGTGCACACGCATGTGGGTGTGCACCTAAATATTATTACTTATCCGTGTGTGTGTGTGTGTGCACAAGCTAGCGAAAGTTCCCGGCTTCGCTTGGGTTATTGGTTTATATATTCTAGATGACTATGTCAGTTTATGTATTCTGAACCTGTTTGAGCATAAAAGAGCAGTAAATATATTTTAAACATTTTTATTTAATTTATCGTGACCAAAAATATTGTTACCAAGCCAGACATTACGAAAGATCAGATTGCAGTTCATTATTAAATCTTTGTCAGTCTTTATTGCACTTTTTTATGATTTGTAGACTAAAGTGGTGACTCTTGCAGTGGGTGAAATAAAGTGTCAAGAAAAATATATTAATAAATATCAATCAAGATGAAACTGAATGGATATATAAAATGGAAATTTCTGATCAAGAGTACAAAAAATAAATAAATTCCATAATGGAAGGAAGTATTTTTAATGCTTTTTCACAACAAAGGTTTGGAAATTGTACAGTGTGAAAAATAAAAGAAAAGGTAAATCAAATTCTATGAAAAATATTAAAGTGATACTAAATGCTGTTAAGTAAATTTTTACTAAGTTCCATGTAGTTTGGTTAAGTATTTTTACTGTGAGAAGGAAAAAATTGGGGGATATCAAAGAAATCACTCAGGGTTAAAAGGTAGTAAATAAATCTGGATGATCTTGTTATAAACATTATTAAGTGCCATTACATTTTTTATATTAGCAGGTATTCAATAGCTATGTATATGTATATATATATATATATATATATTTATGTGTGTGATATAATGGGTTTGGATTTGTTGGTCACTCGTGATAGATCTTCATCATGTTTTTTAAATGGATTTTTGTTTTAATTTGGTAGAAATCTCACTCATTAAGGTCTAGTCTTTATAAATGTGACAAGAATCTTCCTCATAGGAGTTTTGGATATATATATAATAGCATCTGAATGACAGAAACATAAATAAAATGGAGGGCATCAAATATAATAATTGTTAAACCCACATACATTAAACTGTGTATTTCAACAATATATTAAAGTTTGACTTGTGTTTTAATTCATTATTTCTGGACTTAATGTTAAGAGTTTTATGTAGCTTACTAACTTACCATATTAAAAAAATGTAGCTAATATGACAAGAAACTGGTTGTGGGATTTCACCCAATAACAATAGAATATGTGTTTAGTACATTATTTTTTTTAAACTTGTAAAAAAAGTAGTGAATGCTTTTCAAACATTGTTTTTTTTACAAAATGAGTAATATTTTCCATTAAAACTAGTTTGACTTTTCGTTTGACATCTCAGAGCATCTAGGATCAAGTGCAGAAATTAGTAATACAGTGAATTACTGAACACCTTACAAAGGTGTTTGTTAAAAGACCTTACCATTCTTGATTCTACGTATAAACATTTTATATATGTGGTTGAAATAAAATTCATCCTTTTTCAGAATAATTAAGGAAGAGTGAGTATTTCAGACTTTTTCTTGCAGTATCTTTGGTTGCAGATGTTCATCTTGTTACCATATGCTAAAGCTAAGAAATAAAAAAAATATTCATGGCTGAATTAAATTAACCTGTAGTAGAATTGTTTAAGTATGTATTGAAAGGTTAGTGATTTCTGACTTCCATTATGCATTTTCCTATAAGTGGTATTGAACTTGGTGAATGCTAAAGAAATACATGCAAAATATATATGTAGAATTTTGACATTTAACAGTCAATTCATAAGGAAAGATAACTTTTGTAAATGTTTTCAATAATATTTGAGAATTGATATATTGTGGTATTTTACAGAGAGTTGAGTACATTATATTAAAATTAATTTTAAAATGCAAATCAGCAAGTCACATGACAAAATCACAGCCAATATAAAGTTGCAGTGCAACAGCTGGTACCAAAACTACATTTTGACAATACTTGGTGTTACATAGGTAGTGTACCCGATGTTACTGAAAATTTATTGATTTTTTAGAAAGATATCTAGCAGCCATTTCTGATGCAAAATGCCAATATACTCAAATCATAAAAATGTTTTCATATCAAGGACTTAGAAGCACTAAGATGGAGATATCCTTTCTGCTTAATAGCTTTAAAAACAAAGGAATACAAATCATCCAGAAAGAGACCTGCAACAAGACATACTCCAGCCATGGTAAGCAAAGTGCAGTGTCTTGTAAAAGATGAGAATCTATGAACATCAAGGTTAGTGGCAAAAGCTGTCCACGTGTTCCAGGCAACAGTAGGCAACATAATCAAGAATGATCTCCACCTGGAAAAGTAATACAAGTCATACATGCATATATTGCTTCCACTACATATCCATTCAAACATTGCATATCTCAAACAGCTGAAGAATGAATGATTCATGCTATTTCATATGAAGTCACCCATTAAAGTTGTCAGATGCAGCACCTGTGGATTTCTGTGCAAACAAATTATTGAACTGGGCAATGGGAAACTGTGATCTTCATAAAGTAGATGGATTACGGAAAGCCTGCAGGGAAGAGTGATGTCCTTTGGAGACTAAAGCCTTTTGCAATGGAAACTACACTCTAGGTCTATTGTCAAGATGCACAGCCATCATAAAGAGCATGACTGTATGTGGTAATGTGAACTGCCATGATGTGGTGAGGCTCAAAATGTATCTTAATATAATGTATGCAACCTTTAAATTTATGTAGATTGTGGATTAATATAAGATATGAAGAATGCATTAAGAAAATGCATGACATGATTTCTGTCATGGAGATATCACTTCAGAAATATTACCTCTTCCTAGGACTGTGAGCAATTATTTCATGGCATTGCTGAAAAAACTTTTGCACATGTGCCAAGTCTTGTACAAAACTCTCACTCCTACATGTGTTAAAGTATACTGCACTGTCTGTGATGCTATCCAGATAAAGTCCTGATACTCTACAAGGATCATCTATTAATATTTCAGTGACAACTGGAAACACTCATTAATCAGTGATGTTACCACCGTTTAACACCAAATGGTTGATTCCATTCTAATCCCAGCTTCAACCTCATGTTTCAGTTGAGCCTGCTGTTACCACTGGCTGTTTTTTATTTTGGCTTTTCCCTTCCTAAGTATCCCCATCTTCATCATTTCTTGCTTTGTTTACATAGGTATTTGAATTTTTTTCTCTTTCTTCAGTTGTTCATTGCTGAATCATGAACTGTCGTGTTGCCCCAGCCTCCTTTTTCTTCTGCCTATCTTTTCCCTCCTCCCCTAATATTTGTGTTCATAGCAATATTTTTTGTCTGGACTTTGTACCAAACCCTAACTATCATGTCTTCTCAGACCTTAAGAATTGTTTTTCTTTCTCACCCTCATTCTCCTTCTTTTAATTTTTTCTGCTGCTTAGCTTCTTTGCTATTTTTCCATGTGTCACCTTCTTTGCAACTCTGACAGCTTCAGTGGTGAAAATAATACCTACCTTTTCTTCAGTCTGCCCTTGATTTTCTAAGATCTTCCATGGTACTTTAGTTAACTCGATTTCCTTGTTTCTGGATTTATTTTATTGTGATGCCTTACTTTCTGGAGTTATTTCCATCAGTTTTATCTCAAAGATCTCTGTGTGGCACTCTTTCTTTGTGATGAGATTTTGGGGAAGGAGTTATTTATATATTAGAAACTCAAGCTAAGGCAGCTCATCATCAGTAATCTCTGCTCACTTTTCTTGATCCAGGGTTCCCAATATGTATCTCATACTTGGGAACCTCATAGGGATCCATTGCCTTCTCTTGTATTTCTCCTTTCATTTATTTACCTCTCACTTGTATGGTGATTCAATTGGTCCAACACAACCCAGAGCATCCCGCTTCCCCAACCTTGCTTATACTTACATTTGTACACCAATGCCTTTCTCTCTGGTGGAGTGTGGTTCTGGACGCTTAAATCTCTTTCAGGTCTTCTGTCTCTCGATCATCTTTTTGTGATCCATACAACTCCACTGTTGCTTCTTCCATCAACCAACAGGAAGGCATTTGTTTTCTGACTATTCTCTCCTTTTTGGGCCTATGAACACTGCATTAATTTGTTGACCTGTCATGTCTTGGAAACTGAGAACTTGGTAGTAGATCATCTGTCTAATCTAGACTGGATGCCTCTAATAGAGTGGTGTCTACATCCTCTGGTGTTTCAGTGGATTTGTTCCCACTTTGGGAGTATTATTATCAATCCTGATTCTCTACCATCACCACCACATTTCCATTTTTATGGTCACCAATCCACCAGTATTTTGCAGCTGTAGCTGTTGGTTCTCAGAGTTGGAATTGGTCCAGTCTCTTTCTATGTGTTTGTCAATGAACTTGCATCTCTTTCCCAGCCATTTTCTTTGTCTATGTTTTACAGACCTCTTCCAAGCCTTTCTTATCAAACATCCTCTCTATCTATGTTTCTTTTCTTGGCTGGAACATTTGTTTAACTCTCAGAGTTTCCTTATTTCTCCCCATTGGAACCTTTGACCATCTGTTTCCCATACTACCTTTACCTACAGACATATTTTTTTCTACTTTTTATGTGCAGATGTCACATATGCCTTACATATCTTCTGCACTCTTTATTCCAGGGACAGATTGATTTATTTTCAGACCACATTTTCCTTTTCAAGACTTGAGCTGCCCAAAGGGGTGATCAGATGTTTTCTCCAATCACCTCCTTTCCCTTTCTTCATTGTTTAATTGATCCAACCTTGATCACCTCCTTTGTCATGCTTGGCCAGTTCGTTGTCTCATTCATACTGTTCCTTTTCATGGCAGTCAACATTGTCTTTTCTTCCTCACACAGCCACTTTATTTTTCTATATATCTTTATACTGGAGACAATGGGAACCCACACATGGCTGATGTTACCTCACAGAGAATACTTCTCTTCCCTGACATCTGTATTGAGTAGAAGACATCTTTTCCTGCTTTGTGCCTGTAGTTGAAGTGAGGTTTTCTGCAAGAGTGATTCAACAACATATATATTTACCTTCTAGGTCATACTTCAGAAGAAATAAAACACAAAAAAGGGCAGCACCAGTTTGGATCCTACCTTCTTACTTTGCTAGTACTTGCTTCCATAATTTAGATAATTGCATTGTCTATTAGTGTGAAACTGTATGTAGGTGGGATGGTTCTTTGTCAGCCAAGCACCTCTCCAGCATTCTCACCTATGCAACTTTCTTTCTCTTATTTTCTTCTAATGAAGTAAAAGAAGAACCCTTGCCTACACAATCAGGGCTGCTGGGGAGGTTGATATGGAGATTTTTCCTTTAGGTCAGTGTAATCACACTGGTATGTGCCCGAGTGGATGCACCAATAATCGGAAGTAGGGCTGGAATATTTACCTGGAAATGTAGTACAGGCCACCCCTACACTAAAAATTAGATCATTTCAGGTGGTTATGCCAATCAGATAGGTCTTGTATTCTCCTCAGGATGCAGGTTCAGGATGATTCCTTTCTCCATCTGTTTATCCTGATATATACTTATTATGTAATATTGTATGATGTATTTTCCCAGTCAAGCTACAAATGCATGTTCTGCCAACCCCCCAAGATATATGGTGTGGTGGAGCAATCATTAATTTCCAGCCCACATGTGCAACACTTCAGCACCATGGAGGAGATTTTTTTGACAACAATTTTTATTTTACCACCTCTGTTGGGAAACTGTAATTCCATGCATGGGATGGATGTGTTCTCCCACCAAGTGATACCCCACTAGTTGGTGACACTGTCCATGCATTTTCACTTTCTGATGCTATATATTATCATAAAAGAGCTTAACTTACAAGCTACTTTTTGTATATTATGTATTTGGTGCTTTATCTTTAAAAAATACATAATACTTTTTACTTTCAGAGCACTTCTAGACCCTTATCCTGAATTTTTTGTGCCCGAAGTTATTGAAGAGTTAAGTACGAAAAAGATCTACACATCAGAATTAGTCTATGGGACGCCAGTAGACAAGATGATGGATGCTGATCAAGAAACAAGGAATAAAGTAAGCTGCTGTCTATTTTACACATACACACCCTCCCCCAGTTGTAAAAAATACATACACCCAGTGTATAGTTCTATCGTAAGATGGTGTGCTATTTATGTGTATCCTCTCTTAGCATTGATTCACTTCTTGTCATTGTTACATAATATAAACATTATATAGAAACAAAAGGAAGTGAACAAACACTTAGAGAGGTTATATATGTATAAGTTACAAACATTTTTTAGACTACGATGAAAATGCTTTGTGTTGAAACTTACAAATATCCTTTAGTTTGTTATGGTTAAAACATTTAAAGGATAATTGGAATTTTCTGTATTCTAGCTATTCTGTTATTAACCTTTTCTACACTGGGAGAGATGTCACTGACATTCCCTGATTTTTTCCTTCTCACAGTGGAAATACTTAACTATATTATATAAAACTTGATAGTATTTAGTATGGCTTAAAAATCATAAAATTTGATTTAATTTTTTGTGTGTGAAATTTTCAAAATTTGGTTCTGAGAGACACTTTTAAAAACATAACAAATGCTGTTTTGCCCCTAATTAATACCCTTCGGGGGGCATTAAATAGAGACTAATTGGCTCATATGATAATACTTCTATTATAAACAAATATATCTATAATAAGTAGTAGCAAACATAGCCTGTTTATTTCTAACTTTGAGATAAACATCAGTTCTCACAGTAAATATTGTAAATAGTGCAGTAAATATGCTAATAATTGTTTATAAGTGTCAAAAAATCCTGTGAATGGTCCTGCCATGTACCAGATAATCTCCTTTGATCGGCACCACCAAAGTATCTCTGAAGTTTGCTATTATGACAAAAAGTGACATTTAGCAGTTACAAGTCTTATTTTCTGACCTCTGCAATGGGGGGGGGGATAATTAGAGAGAGGCAATACAGTACTTCATTAAACTTAGAGTTTTAAACTTTTATATTTTTGATCAGTAAGCTCAGTGTTATCTATTTAATCAGTTCTGACTTGATTGATATTCATAAAAATTATAAAATTTTGCCAACTGCAGTAGTCGTCATTTCCCTCTATAAATTATAAGAAAAAAAGAAAATGGGTAATGGTGACATATGACCTGACATGTAACTATGATGTCAGGTCAGGCTAGGTAACAGTTTTTTTTGCTAATAATATTCTTCATCAAGATCAATTTATTTCTAATACATATAATTTCTTTTCAGTAAATAATAAGTTATTTTACTATTCTATATTGTTTGAATACAATAAACTTAACAGTAATATCCAATAAAAAGGATTTCAGTTATTTGTTAGTCACAGGAATATTTTGGCATTGCCTTCCATACTTTCTAAACCCAACTAAGCTTACCTGATATCTTGTCAAACAATATGATTTTTGTAGCTTTCAAACAAAAATACTTTTAAGAATGAAAATAATGTCTGAGGAAACTCAAACAAATACCCAGGTTTGTAGTTTGTTCCTAAGTCTTTAAACCTTTACACTAACTTGTTGATGATAGATAAATGAATGTGGTTAGTAGTTGTTTAATCTACTTAATAATTATTCTTCCTTGTGAGTGTTGTGTCTGTCTTAATCTTTAGATGTTGTCCTCACAGAGATGGTTTTGAGACTGAAATGAATGTAAGTCTAATAAGAGCTCTCAAGAGTTTGGTGTTCAGTTAATATTATGCAAATTGTTGCTCATCAGTTATATCTGATAATTCTTCTTATTGATTATCCTTAAATAGCAATAACCATTATATATTAGCCTTTCTATTTTATTGAAGAATTTGTATGTTTGATAGAGCTGAAAGATTTTTCTATTCTTTTGTGATTCATGTTAAATGTTTCCTCATTCTAATGTATTCTATGATTCTCTCTTTATCACTTAGAACTGTTTTTGGTTCATTAGTATTAAAGATTTCAGTGTTTCATTATTGTTTGTGGATGCATACTCTGCTCATCCTTGTTGTTTCACAGATGATTGAATCTATTAACTGTTGCATACTATCTTGGAGTAGGGTTAATAAGATAGAATGTCTTAGCTGTTGAATATTGTTATGAATTAATGAGTGTTACTTGCTTTATTAATACACTAAAATCCCAATAGGGCATGGATTTTACATAAACATCTTGATAACATGCAAAGTTTAAATAGAGGGCATGTATTTAAAATACATTAGTTGAATCCTGCTCATGCACAAAAACTTTTCTGCTCTGAAAATGCAAAAGTGTACAGGACATTGTCTAAAATTGGCAGGTTAGCTTGGGGACATATATAGTATAAATGTGAAATTCAACAGAAACTTACAAGGTTGTATAGCTGTAGAAGAATATCTAAAATGTGCAATTCGGAGTAAAAAGGTGATATGTGATACAGACAAATAGAGACTGAGAATTTACTTAAATACTTATTTTTGAAATTAACAAATTAAAAAATTATATTAAAATTTGACTTATGAACTTCATTTTGATGCCAAATGTGTTGATATATCATAATATAGCAGTTTAACTAAATTTTGAATGCAACTCTATAGAAAGGTCATAACCTGCACTGTGACAATCTCTTGCCAGTCACCTTTTAAATGTAGCATCTTGGATTGCTAATAAAAGTTATCTACACTTAGTGTCTGATATATTTTGTGAATTCATATGAATATTGCTAAAATGTCTTCTAAGAAGTCAGCTCCTTCACCTGCTTGTGATTCAAAGAAATGCAAGTGTTTTTTACTCACCAGGAGAAGGTGAAAATATTACATTGGCTTTGTGTTGGTGAATCAGTTAGCAAAATAGGGCAAGAATATGTAATCAATGTATCAACAATTAGTTCTTTTTGTCATGTAAAATATTGTTAATTGAATGTGTAGTGCATTTGGTTTACTTATTTTAATATATATTTACACATAATCATTTTCAAAACATACTAACCTCCTCTCATGCTTACAGCTCTAACTTGACTTCCAGGGTTTCTTCTTTTGCTCATCTATGCATTAGTCTGATTTTCTCTCGCTTGCTCCAGTCTTTTGTACTCTCACTCAATTGTCCTTGGTGATATCTGTCTCGTGACACTCCCCACCTATGCCAATGTGCCCCCTATATGGTATTGTATATAAGCACCTCATTCAGATAATGTTATCACTTTTTCAAGACTAACTCAATCCCATGTATCTCCCCATCCACACAATGAACATTCATACTAAATTTGGTGAAGATCCATCCACAGGAGGTGAGTAGTGGTAAAAACTGCCAAAATGTCCATAAAAATCATAAAACTGAAAATTTGTATGTATGAACCCAATGAACCACCACACCAAATTTGGTGATCCATCTACAAGGGGGAAAATAGTGGTAAGAAATGCAAAAATACCCATAAAAACCACATAGTGTGCAAAACAGTAAATTTTGTATGTATCTCCCCATGGACCTAAAGAACCTCCATGCCAAATTTGGTGAAGATCCATTTACAGGGGGCAAAATAGTGGTAAAAAATGCAAAAACGCCCCTAAAAACTGCAAAATACAAAACTGAAAATTTGTATGCAACCCCACATGGACCTAATGAACCTCCATACCTGCGAAGTAGTTACATGGACATACAACAGACAGTACTATTATATTTATATAGATGTATGTACAAGCTGAAATACCCATCAACTGATGGGGAATGTTTAAACTGAATTAAAACAATCTAAGTTAACAGCAATCATATATTTCAAAGTATTAACTTGAACATAAACTTTATCTCAAAATTTTAAAATTATAACACATCTTCTTCATAAACAACATTTGCTGTTTGCTTTTTGTCTTCTAACAAATAAAGATTTTGAGGTGATCCCACCCTTGAACATCCTACATCTCATTGACCATGAGAAATGTATGGTTGTTTGAGAAACAATCCAGCAACTTTTATACTTTGACTTTGAATCCCTTTAGAATATTCAATATTGTCTAAAGTGTCAAGTGTTTGAGAATGACTCAATAGGTTGGGAGTAATCAACCAACAGGTTTTACAAAATAGAAATAGGTTTAAGTTTAATTTTGATACCCTCAGGACATTCCGTATAGTTCATAGTGTTTACATACAGATTTTGGTTGAGATTGGCCCAATAGGCTCGGAGGAGTTAGGGTGCAAACAAACGTACGTTTCGTCTTTACATACATATATACACCTGGAAAAAAGTTAAGCACCCCCGTGTTTTTTTCAAGTGATTCAGAATCGACGTTCTTGTGACTGATTATAAATTACCATTCAATCTAAACGTGTTTATCAAATGAAATTATGCATTATTGGGCACAAGAAAACAAGATTATCACCGT